ATTTATATTTTTGTATGGGTTTTTGTAGTTTTTGTCATCAGAGATAAAATGCCATGCACTCACCGAATTGATGAGGAAATTTATTACAGCAGACCCTCCTCCAAGAACAACAGAGAAAATTGTAACAGAAGATTGGAAAAGAAGGCTAACATTGCCTCTTACAATATCCCACAGAGACTCGAGCAGAGATGAAAGCATGCCAACATTCTCCTTTCCAAACTGCATCAATCCATCCAAATTCAGCAACTCTACAGGAAAAATGAACTGTTAGAATTGATCCAGTAGAGTGTGTGTAGACTGATGAACTGAAAATAGTAACTGCTCATAAATATTGGGGGAAGGGGAATGACAGAATATGTACCTGGAGTCTTCATTACGCCATCCAAAAAACTCTCCCAGCTTGCGTATACAGCACTTGATGATACTTTGGGTCCCATAGCACCAGGGAGTTCAGACGATGTCATCATCCAAGCTTGATAAATGCGATCCCACAGTTCAAGAACCCTCTGTTCCAGGAGTTCTGCTTTGTCTGCATCAGCATTTTTCAGCATTGCATGGACCTGAAATTTATTTTGAAAAAGAATAAGAGCAATAGAAAGAGTGACCATGTCCATTGACAGTAACAGTTACACGTAGATGAACTAACCATGCTTGATATACTCTGTCGACCATACAAATAGGCATTATCCAAAACTAGATGCAGTTTTTCTTGAACTCCCTCAGGAAGAAGAGCCAAGATTTCCTGGTTGTGGCTCAAAGTGTTGTTAATTGCATTTCCAGCAACTTGCACCAAGTGTATGCCTTCAGCATACACCTGTAAAAAATAAAATTGTGATATAGATAGAAATTCTCATTCAAAATGATTAGATTTAAAAATCCCTTCAAAGAAAACTTTTGCACTGAAGAGTATAATAAAATTTTGCACTTACATTGAGAGTTATGAATATTGTAGTGCTCAAAAGAAAAACAAGAAGAGCAAGAATTACAAGAACACTTGCCGCAGAATCAACTGAGTCTCTGAGAGATAGGAGAATTTGTTGGCGCAAAGAAGTTTGCATCTGCAAGGATTTTGAATTATTAAGTAGGTTCTGAAATTATAAAAACATGTAATGGATGTCTAAGAGGCATGAGCAAGCATACTTTCAAAAGCCCAGAAACAAAAGGAGGGCAAATTGCATCCTTTCTGGTAGAACTCCAGGTAGACAGAGAGTTCTGGAGGATTTCATACTGGCTAGAGAGCCAACTCCATACTCCAAAATAGTGACCTACAAGTTTAAACATATAACACATCTTTCATGTTTCCTTTTTCCTGCTACGGTATACGAAAAATATTTCATGTAATACTTACCAAGATGCTTTATAGTGTACATAAAGATGGTAACTGGAAGGAAATGAAGAAGCCACAAATGATTCCAAATAAAAACTGCCAAGCTAGTCCATCCCAACACATACAGGCAGTTCTCACTAGTTATTCTATCATTTTCTGGAGGAGCACTTTTTAGTGTAGTAGGTCGTATTGCAGCCGCTGCTTGAACCTTTAAGTGGTTGTCAAGCTGCAATATACTTCAAGAAATTAAAATTTATATTTTAAGATATAGCCATTTTTGGTGGGGGCATACAGAACTGACCGTTGCTAATGTGAGGCTTCTAATGGTGAGGGTATCGGGGAGAGAGCTAGCTCGTACAGGAAACTGGGTGACGTGAGGGGAAGCATTACTGGTACACTAGAGGGAACCTACCATTCAAAGGGATGACGTACCTCAAGTGGATTTCTTGGTTTGCTCAAGCCGTCAACTTCTGAAGGAGATGGAATGTGCTCATCATTCTCATTAACACCTTTGAAGTCCGCGGATCTGTCAGTAGATTCATTGATTATGGTGTCGGTGGGTATTACTGGAAGAGACTAAGGAATAGAGAGTTAATTAAAATTATAGGTAAGTGGTAAAAATTAAAAAAAGGGATTTTACGGAAAGATCAGCCTACCTGGGTTGGCATAATTATTTCTGATGTGCGCTCACTACTTGTAGCACTTTTCATTAGAGCTTCCACCAAGGATAAGTGCCTCTCTATGATTAAAAACAGAATATGTTTTCAATTGCAGCTTAAGATCCATCCAAACATCTACAAACAGAGTCTTTGAATGAGCTCACCTTTTGATGACTTGTATGAATCACTTGCACACCACTTCTCATAGAAGTAACCCATGCAATAAATCGACTGAAGCAGAATAAATGCTATCACTTGATAAGACTGGCCAACAAAACGAGCAATGTAGCCAGCTCCAAGACACCATAAAACATAGGCACCGATGGAGAAGCGGTTTGAATTTTCAGGACTCCACCACAGTGTCAGAGTTGAAACGTATCCACAAAAATAGGTGAGAAGCTGGAACAAAATAATATCAAATTGCATATATGACAGCCATGAAGACGGTAACCTTTAATTCAAATTTTTAAGACTGACCATTGTACCACTTGACAGACTGACAATGAAATTAATAGCAGCATACAGTGCATAGATCATTCTCCACAGCAAACACAGACAAGCCTGTGGAGTGTACCCATAGAGGGCTAAAAGAAGAGGCAAAGCAATACTCAAACAGAGAATGAGTTTCAGGTTTCTATACAGCAGGCCTCCTATTCTGTCTGAGAATCGGTCAAAGGCGCTGACAGGTATCATGACGAAGGCCACTGCCATGGGAGTTCCTCTTGTCTCCAGCACATCCAGCCAGTTTTTGACGGAGTAAACTAAAGAATACTTAAACGGGTGCAGAACAGAGCCCAGCAGCAGAGCCCATAGGAGTGGTTTCAGGAATGGGTCAAGGATAAAGAATAAGGCATACAAGGCGGCACAGCAAACCACCAAGAGCAACATGGCAAGTGCATTGTAAAGGGCATTTTTTACTGCTTTTTCGTGTCCTTGGATGCCTAAACTTCCCCCAAGGAAGTTCCAAACGTTGTTTAGGGTAGTTGCTCTGGAGGAAGCCATCCCCTTCATGCGTCCAGCTCAACAGCTGGCCCCCAACTCAGGAACGGACACACGTCTCTTGCAATCCGAGGTTACTAACACAGGACGGGTTACTCCCACAACAGGTCATTAAAGTAACCACTGTCAAGCTGTCCGAGAGCACAAAATCGAGTTGATAAGTTGACATGCCCTATTAACCCTGTCAAATCTTCCTTTGTTATTGTTTTGTTACCAAGCGTGAGGGCGTGGCTCGAGGGAGAGATATGAGAGACGGCTGGTGTACACGTAACGTCACAGCCTTCAGTTCTCTCACAAGGCGGTGAGCTGCATCTTGGAGGGAAAATACGACTCCCCCGGCCAGGCCAGACCGCCACCGGAAGTGGGTCGCGATTGAATACGGCGACAGGTTTCGCATGAAATCGTATGTAGCTACGGTTAGAGGAGGTTGTTTCTTGTTTTCCGCGGGATTTTGTCGAAAAGAAATCCATTTGGAAAGGCGGCGCCGACAGTTTTGTAGATCCCATCACTAGACTAGCCCACAAGAGCAGAGGTAAGAGAGCGGAGCATACGCCAGAGACGTTGTATGATTTGGTTAAACGACCGATGGACGCGAACCTGGAAGTTAACCCTGTGTCGGCCATCTTGGAAAGGAAGGGGTGGCGGTGGCAGTTACGGCCGTTGCTCCAGCGCAGCTCTAGTTCAGTGACAGCTGGAACCAAATTCAGTTTGTGCAAAAATCTTTGTTTATTTTCTCAGATCCCGTGGAACACCCGAGTGGCATCCATATACATTATCACGCCATGGAGAAGGTCGTGCACAACGTTGACTCGGCGCCCGTTCTGGTCAGCATGACCGTGCCCAAGTCCAGCAGCCTGTACTGCTTCACCGCGAGGATAGACCCTGAGGACATGAAGGACCCGTCGGCCAGGTCCGACTTCCACTGGCAGACCTTCAAATGCAGGTACGAACGTTCAGCGCGCGACGCACAGCACAACCCGTGATCAGAGATTGTGCACGCACCTGCTCGCCGACCCTCGTGCTCTCCCACCCTCGCCCACCCCTAACCCTACCGAGACCACAGCCTCAGGTCCGACTTTCCGAAGCAGAGGAGTTTACAGGAGGGAGGAAAGTCGGACGTTAGGCTGTTCAGCCTGTGACCACACATCTTGCAAAGTCTCAGGACAGGACCACGGCGTTTTGCACTCGCTATGGTCGCAGCAGCTGCCGGCGTGCCGCCTTAACCACACCCCCCAGCTGACCATTCTTTTTCCTGCCCTCTCCAACTACACCAGTAAACGTCGTGTTTTTTTTTAACGCACGGCAATAAAAGCACATGCCATCGGCCTGTGAAGTTCGGTTTACCTAAGCCGGCTTTAACTACTCCCCCGCACCGAGCGCGCGCGCGCAGCGCAGCAGTGGTGCAGCAGTCCGAATGACCCCCTCCCCTTCCCCCTTTCCCCCTCCTCTCTATCCGAGGCGTATAATCTACGGCGTTAATAAAAATTTCTCTCTGCTTCGGCAGTAACGCTGCAGCAGTTTCATTGTCCAATGTTGCAGCCGCGGCAGCTCGGCGGCGCCACGCGCGAGTCGTAACAACCCGCCGACCGCCCCCTGCCGCCGCAGGGTACCGCAGGGGCGCGTGCTGCGGCCGCCCCTTTTAGAGTGCCCGACGTGCGTGCGCCCGCGAACGTGTGTCATTGGGATTTCTCAGCGTTATTTCCTCCTGTTTACCTGCGAGAAAATTGTCAGTTTTGGCGGTTTTGTCGAGTGGTCGGCAATAGTCGCGTTCTCCTCTGTGTAGAGGGCCTCACACACGGTGTACTCCTCCGGCATACTCCGGGTGTTGTACTGTTCAAAGCCCAGCTGCCGACGCCTCGGGTCTCGTATACTATCTCATTTTATTTCTGGTTTTCGTCAGGCTGCTGGTGTTCAGCGCGCCGGTGCTGGTGTGCCCCGTGCGGTCCGTGGACGGCCCGCTGCGCGACCTGACGGTGGTGTGCCGGCGCAGCGAGCTGGACGAGCAGCACGAGCAGCTGCCGCAGCCGCCGTCCGAGGTGCGCGCCAAGCTGGCCGAGCTCAACCTCACGCTGATCCGGGTGCGGCCCCTGTCGGACAGCGAGTACGCCTCGTGCCTCGAGTACACCCTGCAGGCCAAGCTGGCGCCCCTGTGGAGCCCGCTGGCGATGCGGCTCGTGCAGGGCAAGGACTTCCTCACCTGCGGCGAGCCCAGGGACAGCGTCAGCCTCCGGATCAACGTGAGCGGTGAGTCAGTCGAGCAATCGGCCCGAGGGGGAGTACTTTATTTTCAAAACAACCAGTGTACTCTGTGTACTACACCCTCCCAAAAATGAGATAAAAAACTCAGGAACGAACCATAAATCATAAAAATCAGAATGGAATGAAGAAAAATCACCCTAAAATCCGAAAAATATCAGGA